CTCATTCTCTATCTCATTTTATTCTTCCAACACACTTGGAAGGCAAGTGCTGTTACTATTTTAATCCTTAGTTACACATAAGGAAGATGAGGTTCAAAAAATAAAATTACCCAAACCATCCATCTATTAATTGCCACCCAGTACACTTCAAGAAGCCCATCTCCATATGATCTGTTCATTATGCTACACCAAAAATAGTTCTGCATTACAAAAATCAGAGTGAACGTAGAACTGTAACAAATAACAAATTATTTTCTACACTGAGAACCTAGAAGGCTTTGGGAAAGTGGTAATGCAGTTCAACCCTTCCTAGACCTCTTCTGCCCCACAGTATCTTTCTCCCTTTCTCTGAGAGAATATCCAGAAGCATCTTTTGGAAGTCAGCAGCTGCTCAGAAGCAGTTTACACTTGAGTGAGTTATTTTCTAATCAGGCAGCATCAGGATTAGGCTTTCAAGATCTCAGTGACATCATTTTTATTTTAGTTTTTGCTCATGGTTCCTCACTTATAAACTCCGTTCTCTGGGGAGGTTTTAGACACTAGAGTTTTCTTCCCTGTGGAGGGCTACAGCAACTTTAATTTCCCCCACTTTCCTGCCTTCAATTCATCATAATTAAATTCTCTAACCTACCTTGCATGACAATAGGTCATCAGACCCTCCTCATCCTAAAAGTATCCAGGAAAAAGGAATGTTTTAGAGAGGGCAAGGAGAACGTGGTTATACAGGCCTTGCTAGGTCTCCTTGTTCTGTGTATTCACAACCATGCCTATGCAGTAAGTCTCCATATAAAGTCAGAAGGACTGGTCAAGAGTACTTTTGGATAGTGCAACATGTGGTATCTTGATGACAAGCCTAGAGACAGCATGGAAGCTCTGCCCACATCTTCATGCATATATTTCTTAATCTACATCCATTGTCATGTCCTCTATAATAAAGTGGTGAATTTAAGTGTCCTTCTAAGTTCTGTGGGCTCCTGGCACTCAGCAATCAAACCCAAGCAGAGGATTGTGGGAACCTCCATATGTAGCTGATTCATCAGAGCCACAAGGAAAACAACCTAGGACTTGTAACTGACATCTGAAGTGTGTGAGTGATGGGGACACTTAGAAGTGTGCCCTCAGCCTGTGTCAAGAGGTGCTGTCTCCAGGTTGACTGTCTCACAACTAAATGAGGTCATGTAGCTGATTCTGCTACTGCAGGATTGTACACAAGCATGTAGCAAGAATTCCCGACATGTTGTCGGGTCACAGCATCTTCCATGTTGGTTGTAGTGTAACAACCTTGCCTGGACAATCCCCAAAGCCTTGAACAAACATTCAGATGTCTGGTCTTGTCCTCCTTCAATCTGTCCTTCACATGGTTACCAGGAAGAAGAAGAGTAGAATCTGTTCATGTCCTTCCCCTCTTAAAATCATTTAATGCTCCTGTTGTGGGCTAAATTGTGCTGCTCCCAATTTGTATGCAGATGTCCAACCCCCAGTATCTTAGAATGACTCGGTATTCAATATTGGGCAATTAAAAGAAATTAAGTTAAAAAGAGGTCAGAAGGATGAATGCTACCTCATTCTGACTGATGTCTTTATAAGAAAGGAAATGCAGACATTAACAAACAGAGAGGGAAGACAGCATGGAGACACAGAACACAAAGGAGGCGTCTGAAGCAACCAAATCTGCCATCAAATTCTCACACTAGTGAGAAGAAACCTTTCTATTGTTGAAGCCACCTACCTAGCCTCTGGTGCTTTGTAACACTTGTTAAGTTTTCAAGGTCTACAACATAAGCTTAACCTGGCATTCAGAGACTTTCCTAACTGATCCTGCTTTGCAAGTGGCATCTCCAGCATGTCCCCACCTTTCTCCATACCATCTAGAACACTGAATGTGTCTTGAGTCCTACTGTGCTCTATCTGCTTCTCACTTTATCTTCTAAGTCTCAGTCTCCACTGCCCTCAGCCCAGGCAGCACGAGCTTCACCTCCTCTGTTGGAAGGCATCTCCCTAGCCTAAGGTTCCATCGCAAGGCACAATAACGGGCACATGTCCATACACATCTGTCAAGCCAAACTAAGCATGGGCAGAAGAGAAAATGTCAGGAAAGGGCTAGAGAGATGGTTCAGGGGTTAAGAGCACTGACTGCTCTTCCAGCGGTCCTGAGTTCAATTCCTAGAAACCATATGGTGGCTCACAACCATCCGTTATGAGATCTGGTGCCCTCTTCTGGTGTGCAGATATACATGGAAGCAGAATGTTGTATGCATAATAAATAAATAAAATATTTGTTTAAAATGTCAGGGAAACCATTTTCTGTCTTTCTTTCCTCACAGATGAAGAGCCTCTGTAACCATCTCAAGCTAGCACCTTGTCTCACCTCAGGTTTAAGGAAAGGCTGGCCCTGTGGAAACTAGGACATTGAGAACTTAAGAGTTGAACTGTCTCTGCCATGTCCTTCCCCCTGGGGCCTCTCTTACTCACTGACTTCTTTGGATTCCAAGTTCTGCGTGCATTCCACCCTCTCCCTCTCTCTCTCTCTCTCTCTCTCTCTCTCTCTCTCTCTCTCTCTCTCTCTCTCTCTCTCTCTCTCTCTCTCTCTGTCCCTGGCATGCATACAACCAAAACACCACCACCAAAACTTTCCTTCATGTAACCAGGGTAGACAGGCATGGCAGCTCCAGGTTTACATGGCAGCATTTCAGTATCCCAAGAGAACAAACAAATCCTCACTTCAGAAAAGGATTCTGAACACCATTCTTGCCTCACAAGACTGCTCCTTTTACCAGCTGCTTTTCTTTCAAGAGGAAGAGAGACTCTGTTTTTCCAGTGCTGAGGCAAGTTCTTCCTCCTCTGCTCCCAGTCCAAAACACATATACTCTGGCTAGGGGGATGGGCGTGGTGTCTTCCTAGACTTATTAGCTACAATACATGTTGCAGTGAGTGCTGACACAGGCCTGCACACAAATGTTCATAGCATGTTATCACAGCCAGAATCTGGACGAGACACACACAAATGTCCGGTCAGTGGGTGGGGAGATAAATAGTCTGTTATATAAACCCAATGAAAGCTCAGCATAAAAGGGAGTAAGCCTTTCATCCTGAGTAAACTTCAACAACAGCAAGCTGAGCAAAAGAAGGCAGACACAAACCGCATACTGTGTGGCTCCATTTAATAGAATCTTTAGAAAAGACACAATTGTACTGGTTTCCCGGAAGTGTGCAAGAGGTAGCCTTAGACAGCCATAAGCAAAGATGTAAGGTAATGGTAAAATCCTGGAGATTGAGTGGTATCGGTAGCGATTTCACAGATGTATACATTATCAACCACCAGTCTCAGGCCTACACTCACATGAACAGATCCACTTAATGGTTATTTACAATATATCTGTATATAACAAGCACTGAGGGGCTGAACTGACATCTCAGGATAAAGCCCAGGAGCTCACAACAGTCCCCAGGCTCTGGCTGTACAGCCCATTCCTCAGGGCACCCTCTCCTCTTCAACACTTTCAAGTCTTTACAGGGGCTGCCTGTCTGTCCATCAAACTCCACCGAACAAGAAGCTTTCTTCTTATTCAGTGCCATAATGCGTGAGGAATACAGCCATCTTTACTGACTTTCTGTCCTTTACACCCAGAATACTCTATTGTTTTTATTGCTTTGTACATTGACTTCTTTACAATAGTGGCAACTCTCAAAAGAAAGTATGAAAGAACTTTCTTTCATAGAAATAAACTCTGGATGTTTAGACATTTGGAAAATGATGCTGGGGATGTATAATAAAGTGCCTGCCTTGGAATGGAGAAGCCCTAGATATGGTTCTCAAAACAACAAAGACCTGAAATGACACAACCTCGTAATCCAACACATGGGAGATGAACACAAGAGGACCAGCAGTTGAAGGCCGTCATCAGTTACATAGCAAGCTGGAGGCCAGCTTGGGCTACATGCAATGCAAAACAACAGAACTAAATAGTTTGCAAAATGGAGACTTACAACACAAGGGAGCCTGGCATCACGGTGGCATGCCTTTAATCCCAGCACTCAGGGTCTAATTCCAGAACTTGGGAGGCAGAGGTAGGTGAATCTCTGTGAGTTTGAGGCCAGCCTGGTCTACACAGTGAGTTCCAGGACAACCAGGGCTACACAGAGAAATCCTGTCTGGGAAAAAAAAAACAAAAACAAAAACAAAATATTCCTGGGGTTGAAGAAATGGTTCAATAGTTAAGAGTACTGGATGCTTTTCCAGAGAACCTGAGTTCAGTTCCCAAAACCCACATGGAGACTAACAATAATCTGTAACTCCAATTCCAGAGGATCAGACATCCTCTTCTGGCCTACAAGGGCACGGCATGTAGACATACATTTACATACATGCAAGCAAAACACCAGTATACATAAAGCGGGGAGGGGGGAGAGAGGAAAAAAAGAAAGAGAAATCTGGGCTGAAAGATGGCTCTGTGGTTAAGAGTGCCCACTGTTTTTGTAGGTGACACTGTTGCTGATCTCATGTTGTGAGATTCACAATTTCCTGTAACTCCAGCTCTGGGGGATCCAGTGCCACCTTCTGCCTATGTGAGTACCTGCACTCGTGTGTACATACCCCCACCACCACACACAAATACACATATACATATTTTAAATAAAAATAAATCAAAATTTAAAAAAGCAACAACAAAACCCCAACTCTGTCCTTGCTTATGTGCCAGAAACTGACTACGCATCTCACTCTTGGTTGAGAGTATTAACTTCTAGCTGTGGCATCGGCATTCCAGCAAGACTGTACAGTACACATTCTCAAGCATCTTGAACATTATCCCCTAAACAGTTTTTTCTAATTATGAAGAGCTTTCTTGCTAATTATTAAATCCATATGTAATTCAAGAGGAATTTTACCCTTGTTTGCTTCATTCACACTCAATCCATCATGGTTACTTTTAGGAGCCATTTGATGTTCAAGAAGCCATTAGAACCCCCATAATGCTCATTTCTGAGAAAAAGGATGTGGGTAAAATTAAGCAAAACCAAATGTTAATAAAAAATCCTCAAAGAATAAACAGAATGTTATTGAGAAAAGTTATGATACACTGTTCAGTCTCTTCAGATCCCATCGAAGTCTGTGTGACTGGAGACGTCTCACATCTTTATCCCACATTTTCTCCCAGGGGGTGGGGGAGGCCAGGGGAGGGCTGTGGAAAGATGAGAAAGGAATAGTTTGATGAGCACAGAAATGTTTGTCACGCTGTATCCAGCAACATGTAAATCTAGATTGTCTGAAAACCCTCATGCTACAGAACATCAGTCATCGTTTACTGCAATACCATAGCACTATTTTAAGTGCACACTGAACTTGTAAGAAAGCAGAAGTCCAGGTTACTTCTATCTGTCTTTCTCTTTCTCTCTCCAAGGATGAAAAATGTACAGGGTCCTGAAACTGGATGGGTGAGGAAGTGGAGGTTATGCAGTAATCAAGGACCTGATGTTTGGGTGTTTTAAACTGTCATAGTATAAATAAAATATATTCTTTTAAAAAAGCAAACAAACAATAATCAAGAAAATACAGGGACAGAAAATGAAGCAGGAAATGGATGAATGCCCAGGAAGAACATGGACATTTGGTCAGAGAATGAACTAGACCTTTTCTACCATGGTACACATATGAGAAGGACACATGTCTCATACTCTTGCTGTACAGGAAAGCAACATCTCCCTATGGCTGTGTCATCAATCACACGCCGTTAGTCCCAGCACTTCAGACTCAGAGGTAAGCAGATCTATGAGTTTGAGGCCAGCTGGTCTACAGATTGAGTTCTAGGACATCCAGGGATACACAGAGAAACCCTGTCTTGGAAAACAAAACAAAAAAACACCGCCAGGCAGTGGTGGCGCATGCCTTTAATCCCAGCATTCGGAAGGCAGAGGCAGGTGAATCTCTGTGAGTTCAAGGCCAGCCTGGTCTCCAAACTACACAGTGAAACCCTGTCTCAAAACACAACACAAAAAAAACAAAAACAAAACAAAACACCAAAAAGAATGCTACCACCTCCCCAACACATTAAACTAAAAAGTTAGCCGTATATGATGCCATTTCTTAAGAGCAAATAGCAAACCTTTCTGGAGGAATATGCTTAATTCAGATAACAGAAAATTTACACTGATAAAACTGTATTAAAATTAACTCTCTAGGGGCCAGATAAATAGCTCATTGGTTAAGAGCACTTCCTGATCTTACAAGAGGATCAGGGGTCAGTTCCCAGAACCCACCCGGAGGCTCACAGCTGTCTGTAACTCCAGTTCCAGGGGATCTGATGCCCTCTTCTGGCCTCTTTAGGCACCGAATGCACATGGTACACATACATACCTGCAGGCAAACTTCATATATACACACACAAAATAAAAATAACACAGGTGATTCAGAAATGAATATATTGGTATGGATTTTGGTTTATTAATACAAAATTTAAGGCCAGTTTTGTTATACTGTATATATTTCTGCTTTTGTTTCAGGTATTATGTTTATGTAGCCCATTTAAAAATGTAATGTATAGTTAAGAAATACATATTAATAGATAGTCATCTATAATAGTCAAACTTAGTCATGTTAAATTTTATAGATATACAGAGATATATTTCAGATGAATAGGTAATACTTCGAAGACCTATAGAATATGGCATTTAAAATATTTTAAGAACTTAGATTTTTCTTGACAGTGAGATACATCTGCTCCTGGCATCACCAATTACTTCAGAGAGAATGACAGGCAGAGGAAATTTGGGTGACTGTCCAGGCAGCCAGATGTCTCTGTCATTTCTAAAATTTTGGAAGCTGCTTGCAATGCACTTCCTGTTTACCTAGGTAATATATCCTTCTGGGGTCTTTGATGGAGTTGAAGACAAATTGTTATTGTTACAGTTTTCCTTAGTTATGATAAAAGATAAATTAGATATAAAACTTTAGATTCACAAAGATAGGATAGATGATAGAGTATTTCCTTTAATTTTGCCAAATACAAATAGACTAAATATTGTAGCTGTAATTCTTGCTTGAAAAGTTTTGTTATATTTAATTTTACTATGTTAAAATTAAAACTTTCATTTTTAATTAGACAGAAAAGAGGAGATGATACAGGATGTCCTTCTGAATGCTGTGAATATGTGTTGCTTTTATTGGTTGATGAATAAAGCTGTTTTGACCAATGGCCAGGCATAATATAGCTAGGTGGAAAATCCAAACAGAGTTATAGAGCAAAAGAAGATGGAGTCAAAGAGATACCATGTAGCCACCAAAGAGTAACATGCCAGAGCATCACCAGTACGCTACAGCCTCATGGCAATACATAGATTAGTAGAAATAGGTTAATTTATAAGAGAGAGCTAGCCAGTAATATGTCTGAGACATTGGCCAAACAATTGATATTAAGGCTCAGAGTGTTATTTCATAAGCAGCTGGGGGAACTGACAGGAGGGTCAGAAAACTTTCAACTACACATAGGAAAAAAAAATTTTTTTTTTTTTCCGAGACAGGGTTTCTCTGTGTAGCTTTGGAGCCTATCCTGGCACTTGCTCTGGAGACCAGGCTGGCCTCGAACTCACAGAGATCTGCCTGCCTCTGCCTACCGAGTGCTGGGATTAAAGGCACGTGTCACCAACGCCCAGCAGGAAAAAAATTTTAATGAGCTTTTAAATATTATGAAACATAACTTTAAAGTGAAAAATGTGCAATAAAAACTACGCAATTTGTGAGTCAGACCCTGAGTTTGCTCTGTAACTAGGACAGGAAAACTGTGATGCTGAAGACATTACCACAAATGATAACAGAATCATAAATATTCGATGGAAATTTGGTGGAGAAAAAATGCTGTCCTATTGAAGGTATACGAGAAAAGGGAACCTGATGGAGGAAAAGGGAAGAACACTCAAAAAGAATTAAACAACTGAAATTTCATTTTTGTTTAGAAGAATATCTACTAGAAGAACAGTGATACTGAATGTTGGGAAATCAGGAACCTGAGAAGCATGAGACAAAGAAGAGGCATCCCTGCACACACAGAAGAAAAGCATGAGATAAAGAGGAGATTGATGTCATTGCATGCACAGAAGAAAAGCATGAGATAAAGAAGAGACTGGTGTCATTGCATGCACAGAAGAAAAGCAAAGGCCAGAAGCCTCCACCTGGAATAGTTTAAACTGGCATGAGTATGATACCATTGAAAGGGAACTGAAGTACAATTTAGGAAAAAAGACAGCAAGAAGGCCACAGCCATTCATAGCTCTGGAAGGAATGTAGATACTCTAAAGAGACACTTACACCCTTCCCTTTGGCTATGAGAAACAATGGATCGTCCCCCAAAATTGGCATTTCCCCAAGAACCTCATGCAAGGGGATAAGAAAGGCTGAAATCCTAGTATCAGCCAGAGGAGGAGCCCGACTTCCTGGGAAGGATTTCACACAATTCTAACAAATCAGACCACCTTGCCGGACAGAATAGAGCCTAAGAGGGTGCTGGGTTAATGATGGGCAGGACATTACCCTAACCAGGACTGTATTCCTTGTCCTCTAGTTAAGCCAAATATCATGTTAGCATCCTGACTTAGGGGTCACATTAAATAGATCTCATTTCTCTGCTTTTTATTATGGTGTTTTGAGGACAGAGGGTCAAACACACTTGTTGGAACTACCAGGACCTCGGTTTTGATTCTAAAAACTCCAGTAAGAAAAAGACACATTTTGGGTATCAGCCACTTAGCAGGTCTACCCTGGAAGGAGAAGAGCAAATCAACAGTCCACACAGCTGCTGGAATCACCTTTTTCCAGGGGCTTTTTCTTACCTTTCCACTTTAGTTGGCAGCAGCTACTTTCTACCTCTGGTACAGTGGAGACTCGAGACGTGAGTATTTGGACTCTACAGGCCCTGAAGTCTCCTTGCTCGGTGCACCTTGAGCTTTGACTTTCTTTGATTTGGAAGCTGCTCATTAGAGCCGAGTCGGCTCTGTTGAACCATTTAGGTCAATATGTGTAATATTGTCAATCTGGAAGCTTGAGCAAATTCAGCAAATAAACTGTTCAGGTGTTTGCTGTATAACAGGGAAGGTTGGAATGTGTTGGTCTTTTGAGGCTCATCTGAGCTATTGGGGTTCTGGTGAACTATTTGGAACCCAGAGAAACAAGAGTGTTGAGGAGACTTCTATTTTAATTGTGTAATATATTATCTATACTATCTTAGTGTGCACCCCTCTCCCTCAGGGAACCTGTAAACTTACGGTATGTATCTAAGAGAGTACTCTGAATCAATGCAGTTGTTTTCATGTGTAATGGGCATCTACCCTTAGGGTTCCCAGAAAAAAAATGACTGAAACTTCTGCCATTTTTAAATTTATTTAGATGTCTAATTTAAAGTATTCTCTCTCTCTCTCTCTCTCTCTCTCTCTCTCTCTGTCTGTCTCTCTCTCTCCTCTGTGTGTGTGTGTGTGTGTGTGTGTGTGTGTGTGTGTGTGTGTGTGTGTGTTAGGGATGATTTGGAGGCTCTATTAACGCAGAAGAGCTGTTCATGTCTGTTTGTTTTTCCTCTCTTCCTTTGAAAAGGTGGTTAGCTTAAAAAAAAATGTAGGCATTAACTATAGAATTTGGGACAGAAAAAAAAAGAAAGAAAAACTAGTGGTTCCAGGACTTTGTCTCATTCAGGCCTAACTAAAATGTAGATTTTTTTTTTTTTTGATGCAAACAGCACAGCAAGAGGTTTTATTGCAGTTGTTTAACAAGCTAACCCCAAGTTAGCTCGGGCCTTTCATCCACCCACCATGGCAGATGGCTGGGGAAAGACCAAAATGTAGATATAAAAAGATTAATTTTGAGTTTCCTGGCTGAATGTTCCTGGTCTGGTGCTGGGCTTGTTTTGATTCCGTGCTTTCAAATATTAATTCTAAAAACTGAAGCTGATAAAAAAAATAACTGCTACAAGATTTACAAGGAGTAAAATGACTTATAACAAAGATTTAAAATAAAATAAGATGATCTTAATTAGTCATAAACATAGTTCAGACTTAACTGAGTGTTTAAACACTGATAAATCTATATACTGACTTATAAGTCTATTTAATCTTAATTTCTTTGAAATCTATTAAAAGGGAAGCTAGGGTCTATTGATGTTTCTTGAAACACAGCGTGAAGACAGACTATGGGGACGGTTCA